TGGCCGGCCATCTGATGTTGAGTATTGAGCGAAGACAGCTGTTGATGAAGGTCTGTAATTTGTTCAAAGTGCCCTTCGTGACACGCTAAGTCTCAGACCCGTATACTAGCCTGTAGTTAAAACGATGCTTCCCAGGTAGGTGGGTAGGTAAAGGAAGTTGCTTTTTTCAGATTTCTCCCATTTATGCTGATTGTTGTCGGCCAGGAATCTTCATCACCTCTGTTTTCTCTATGTTCACCTGAAGTCCTATTACTACTCAACGACCAACTAGATGTTAGCGTATACAGTAATTAAATATCACACTTAACTGTACAACAGACTATAATACCACGGGAGTGTTTTTCAGTCAGCGCATCAGCTTCCTTACACGATATGGTATGATCACGAGTAGGCATTTGTACTCAATTACTCGGAACAGATTTTTCATGTGCCCGACTAAGAGCCACACACTGATCGTATAACGGCTGATCACACTACCCAGTTGTCCAAACTGAAAATAGGCGAAGCACAACTGAAACCCGTGACCTATCGGCTGAAAACCGAGTGCTTAAACACTAGTGAACCATACCTTTATCCCTTCAAAATACTATTATACACCGCCACACCCTCACTGTCTATCACTGAATTGGTAGGCATAGAAGGTTCCACCTAGGGGAGTTGAAAAACTCTGATTCCCGGCCTATGGTGCACACATAGACTACACAGTCTGAAGGTATTGATTGGCGTGCCCACCTCTTTTAGTCACCGGCAGCCATGGGAATGCAACTCTGCTGCCTTGTAGATCACACTTCAGGTTAAAAGCTGTGGATCTGGGGGTGGTAAGAATCTCAGCAGCACTCAAGTCAATACTGAAATTCGCTTTATATATATATATATAATATAAACCAGAACAATGCTTTTACTTTCCAAATTACTATACTGACAATTTTTCGGTGAACAAAGAAAACGAAAGAGAAAACAAAAAAAGAAGAAAGGAAAATATTAGTTACTTCAAACAAATAAGATATTACATATATATATATATAATCAATCACAGATAATTATAATAGCAGTAGTAATAATAATAATTATTATTAGTAGTATTATTATTATTTCTTTTCATCTGTTTTATCCTAAGCAGAGAAAGGAAACATATGTATATATATAGGGAGAATAGTACTGAAATACCTAAGAAACCACCAAACCAACCAACCAGCACCAAACAGGTTGCCCTGTAATTATTATTATTTGAAATAAAATTCCCGAAAATGTATTGCGCTAAAATAATAATGATATTAATAATACTAGTAATAATAAATTACACAAATGTAAGGGATCAATCACTCATCAAAGACATTGTAGTGTGTGTGTAAAAAAATACGACAGAAACACACGCACGCGCACACACACAGAAAGAACAAATTAAATAGGTTTGTTAGATGGAAGTTGAAAATAAAAATTTGAAAAAAAGAAAATCAAAAAGGTTGTTGGAGGACTGTGTTGTGTAAGGTTGACGACGACGGCACACGGTAGAATTTGTGCTGCTTCAGAAATATACGAAAGAATTCTTCACAAGTGTATGTGTATGTGTGTGGGCGAGCGTGCGTGTGTGCACATGTGTGTGTGTTTCAAGATGTAGTTTACTTTATTAATTCACGTCATATGCGTATAGCCACCACTATATAGTGTGTTAGCTGGAATAGGAAACACAAAACAAATTTATACTAAACGTTAACTGTAATAATGAATAATAATAATAATAATAATAATAATAATAATAATAATAATAATAATAATAATAATAATGTTACTCTTTAATAAGAGAAAAATAACAATTCAGATAAATTACAACGGAAGTGTGTATTTAGTAAATTCACAGTGTTCCCCGGAATAGATCTTCCACATGTACCAGACTATACGAGTCGCAGTTATTGTACAAAAGAATTGGCCGTACCGAAGTAACTGGAACTCATCGCCAATGAGTTACGCCTCCTCTAATCTCTATTATAGCTCATAAAAATGAGTAAAATTATCGTATGCTCAAAATAAAAACTTCATTCATGAGCAGCAGTCACAATCACGTTTGACTTTAGCTTTTTTTAGTTTGTATGAAATTTACTAGTCACAGTGAAGCAAGCAGTAAGATATCGCTTAATTTGGACTACTACACCTTATACTTATTTTTTTTAATAATTATAGCGTGATTCCACACAGTATTTTTGATACAAGTATGGAATTTTCACCATGTGATATAGTTAGCCCAAATTTAACGTGCTGACCATTGATATCAGATGTGCGTTGGCCAGGGTTTGAACCCCGGAGCGTGTGCATGGTCAGCAATCTTCCTAATCGTTGTGCCACGGACGTACACATTTAAAGATAGGGTAAAGAGAACAGACAGTAATGTACACATTACATATTGTGAAGAAAAAGAAGAAATCTTCAGAAAACAACATTCTATTGTCAAGTCTTTCATTCGTCTTTAAGATAGTCAAAGTAAATGTTCGGTAGCTAGCTAGCTGCTGGTGGATGGTTAAAAACGGTTTCACGAACAAATACGTTGAAAAGTATTTCGTAAATATTAGGAAAAATAATCTTTATTTTGTGTAAAAATTGACAGGTAAAATTATACATTATAGAAACACCGATGAGTGGTTCAGAGAGAAAAAAGAGGGAATGTAGCCAAAGAAACAGTAGGTAGCACACTAGATACACATTCTCCAAACGATATCTGATTCTAAACTGTCCAAAACAAGTTCACTTCTAACAGTTTGAAAAGAAAAACTTAAGCATTGGGTATGTGTGATATTGATTGCTATGAAAGCCTCTTTGTATATCCCAATGAATGAAAAATAAACAAGACGATGTTGTTTGGTTTACTAACCCTTCACTATTTAATGCTGCCAATAGCAGCAGTCAGCACAAATGAAGACGTCAAAACTAATCAGGATCAGGACGATCAACCAGAAAGGATAAGCAATATGAAATTATCGCTACAAACCAACCAAGAACCTACCGCCCACAACACACAACTGTAGAAAGGAATGGAGAAGGACTGCACTTATGCTGAGCAGATCTTTCACTGAAATCACTGACTGACTGGTTTCAACATAGAACTTTGCACAGATGTGCGGCAGTTCGAGTTGCCACACTTCATTTACCACACAAAGCAAGAGAAGAGAGTAAAGACAGATTCAAAAGAGAGACTGATAATAAACAGAAACATGAGGCAAAAAGAATAGTAATATGGAAGAACAATAGAATTTTATTGGATATGATAAATCACAAAGAGTATATGCATCTGCGCCAGCGATTGAGAACGATTTTGAACCATATCACCAATTGTCTCCAGCTGTCATTGGTTTTTACCATCCCAAGGACCCCAACCAGGCAGACAGTCTACACCTCCTTACATGGCTGACTGGCTTAAACTAACTGTTGTGGATTTCATTGACTGATGAAGCCATGTTTTGGTTTGACCACCACTAGATATTTTCCAACCTGATCCTGTGTCAGCTAACAGTGGCCGTCGAGGAAGGCGATGACCACGCATACGTAACACATCTACCAACCATCTCAATCGGTGTAACTTCACAACCTGGTCGATTGATTTCCCCTCCCACCTACCTAGCACACAACCGATGCCTGACCTGCATAATGCTCACCCTATCATACCAATTACCAGTGAAATTACTGTCTGTCTGTTTTCGACATAGAACTTTGCACATATGTGTGGCAGTTCAAGTCGCCACACTCCATGGAGCACACAAAGGAAGAGAAGAAAGTAGAAGAAATGCATAATATTGACAGTAAACAGAGGTGTGAGACAAAGGAATAGTAATAACGAAGAACAAAACAGTTTAATTGGATATTATAAGTCACAAGGAGTAGATGCATCTGCGCCATTGAGAACGATTTTGAGCCATGTCACCAATTGTTTCCAACCATTGGTTTTTACCGTCCCAAGGACCCCAACCAGTCAGGAAGTCTACACCTTCCTACGTGGCTTAGACTAACTGTTGTAGATTTCATTGACTGGTGCCATGTTTTCGTTTGACCGCCGATAGCTGCTACCTTGACGTGGTGGTCGGGCTTGCATATCGCAATGACCCAACGAGCTACACTGGCTGGAACTTATGTTCCTGTAGGTCCTACCATGCCAGAAAGGTTGTTTGGATAGCGGTTAGACAAAAAGCAGCTACCCAATCCAATACTATGATTCAAACAAATTCACAAAATATCATGCCGGATCGGTCGGGGCCCGGATTAACAACGACCGCGCTTCCTGCTGCCATGTCACAGGGCAGAAGTGATAAATATGCTACTGAGACACACCAAACAAAAACAGGCCGCGTGTGACCGACCTCAAGCAGTTGTCCCCTGGGCTCTGCGGTCACACAACACTAACCTTTTCTCTATTTCAGGTACCCGAAGACTCAACCAACTTCCACGGTGTGGGCAGACGGGAAGTAACAACCACCCACACACTTCCAAAAGCACACGAAGCCTACCTGAGCATCACTCTCTCTTACTCACATCACCTTCCTCATCTTGCTTCTCTATTACAGTTAGCACTATTCTTCAGGCTAGTGAGTCATCTTCACTTCATTCTGCGACCACAAACAACGATGAGAGCCATAGGAACACCCCAGATAACCAGTGAAATTACACTACAGGCTTTCGAGTGGAACTCGAATAGGAACCTTGAGACGAGTTAGGCGTCCAACGGTAACATAGACGAGATCGTGTGAGAGATGAGATGAAAGCTTATAAGCGATCGTGGAGTCAGCTAAAAGAAGATGGCAGTGGAGAGAATACTTTAGAGATGTGCCTGTTGATGCCCTATATTATTCCACTCGGAATCCAAGGAACAAATAATAATAATAATAAAAATAAATCAATTTCGCTATCTAGTTATGTCAAACTTTATCATGAGACTTGTCACTTACAATTATAGAAATGTGTCCATCGACCTGAAGAAGTCAAATTGTTGTATATATTTGAAGTGAAATTTTACAATTTTATAAACGTGCAGTATGCGGAAGAGGAGGTTGAAGAAGAACATTTCCACCGATGTCAACAGTTTGATTTGCCATTATATTTACATATCGTGATCTGGGATTACTAAGACGTGAAGAAGAATATGCAGGTGAATTTGATGGAGTTGATACGCCTCCGCCTCCTGCTCCTCCTCCAAGAGAAGGGAATACTTGTGAAGAATTTGATGATTTGATCATTTCATCTTGATCAGTTTTTGGTAGAAATGATGATGCTGGGGCTGGGGGTGGAGGTGGAATTTTGTTAGATTCACTGCCTTCAGGATCATTGACATCAATCCATTGTTTAAGCCGATCATCCCATACGATCTATAAATATAAATTATTAGTATTATTATTATTATTAGGCATAAAAGAAAGTCAGGAGTAGCAAATAGCGATCTGAAGCATTGAATATACATGTACCAAATGTTAAGAATTCCAACACAAAGCTATGACAGGAGATTATAATTTACACAAACAAGATCAAGTGTTGGTTTGCAGGGATTTGATTGATTGGTTTCAGGATTTCATCATGAACTGACATTAGTTATAGAACCACTGGAAAACGTAGGAGTACTGGACAGCTGTTTCAATAGCTTAGTTGGGAACTCTTCAGCAGTACGCACCCACTGAGGTTCGAACCCAGGACCTTCTGGCTACTAGGCGAGTTCGCAGACCATTAAGTCACACTAGTGGGGTACAGCAGTTCGGGTGTGAGGGTAAACATTCGCCAGCGATGACATTCGTTAGTGGTCGCGCCACATCATGGATTGGAGGAAGTTGGAATTCATGAACCGTTGGATAGGATCCCAGTGGCTTAATGGTCTACGAACTCGCCTTGTAACCGGAGGGCTCTGGGTTTGAACTCCAGCGAGTGCGTACTGGTGAAGAGTCCCAAACTAGGACGAAACAACTGTGCAGTACTCCCAGGCTTTCTAATGGTCTTCTAATCGATGCCAGTTCGTGATGAAATCCTGGAGCAAACAAGACCAATTAATCATGTTAGATATGAGTTATAAATAGTCTTCATAAAGTTCAGTCACTGATCACTCACTACACAGGCATACACATAGTGTAAACTGTACTTTTTCTTGTTTAGACTCACTTATTCAAACCTGTTCTTTTACATGTTCGAGGATATGAGTTACACACATTATTTGTGTAGATCACATTGGGGGGCTTAAGCGTTCAACTTTCAGTCAACGGGATGCTGGGTTCGAATCTCTAGCTCCATATAACTTCAGCCTCTAGACGACTATGTAATATAGCATCAACCTTTACACAACAATCGTGGTTAACAGCCGAGAACCATGAGAAATCTATTTCGGGTAACAACATTATACCCCTTGTATACTTCATTCAAGATGGCGGATGAAACAAAAGTAAAAACCAAACCCCCCTATTATTGTAGGCTGACAATTTTAACCTCTTTCCCCTCTTTTTTTATTCCTTTACGTTCCCAGTGGAACATAGGGCTTCAAGCTAGAGGCTTGAAGTTTCGGTAGCAGTGGTGTTTGTTTTTACGAGATGGGGTTGCTGACATCAAGCTCAACCTTTCCTCTTTACCAGTCTTACTACTGGCTTAGTTAAGGTAAAGGAGTGCATCCAGTGGCTGGGGATCGAACCTCGGACCATGTGCATGGTCGGCGAGCGTCCTAACCGCTGTGCCACCTCGCCCTACCAAAAATACATTATTGGTATGTATGTAAGGTAACAGAAGTATGCAAAATAAAATGCAATCCACTTACTAAGTAATGCCGCTTACAGATGACATCTATCAACATAAAAGAGACATATATACACACACGTATTCATCTTAAGTTGACGCAATGAGTAAACGCACACACACACACACATAGACACATGCACACAAGACTGACTACTTCTCGTTTGTTGTTGTTGTTATTGTTTTTCAATAGATTTACTATTATTACCAATAATGAGAGTATCATCTACATAACGTTTATACAGCATGAATTCTCCAAGCATACCTTGCATTTGTCTCTCCAATTTCGACATGAAAATATCTGCTAACCCATCGCAACACCATCGATTTGTTTGTATGCCTTTTCTTGAAAGGTGAATCTAATATTTTCTGTACACATTAAAATGATGTCTCTGATGTAAGTTACAGGAATAAGTAAGTTTATTTCATTGCTTGTGATGTAATCGCAAATGAAATCAACAGTTTCATTAAGGGGAACATTGGTGAATAAAGATTCTATGTCAATTGAACACATAACCTTATCCTTGATGTTCAAGGTGTCTAGCGTATCTGTCAGATCAAATGAACTTTTTAAAGAATGATTTGATAATGAGTCTCTTACAGGCGTAAGGACTTTTGTAATCCATTTTGCGATTTTGTGGTATGGAGAACTCGACATGATCCACAAAACTAGTAACCCACTGAGACCCATCTTAGACATGTCGAGTTCTCCATACCACAAAATCGCAAAATGGATTACAAAAGTCCTTACGCCTGTAAGAGACTCATTATCAAATCATTCTTTAAAAAGTTCATTTGATTTGACAGATACGCTAGACACCTTGAACATCAAGGATAAGGTTATGTGTTCAATTGACATAGAATCTTTATTCACCAATGTTCCCCTTAATGAAACTGTTGATTTCATTTGCGATTACATCACAAGCAATGAAATAAACTTACTTATTCCTGTAACTTACATCTTAATGTGTATAGAAAATATTAGATTCACCTTTCAAGAAAAGGCATACAAACAAATCGATGGTGTTGCGATGGGTAGCCCTCTTGGGCCCCTGTTAGCAGATATTTTCATGTCGAAATTGGAGAGACAAATGCAAGGTATGCTTGGAGAATTTATGCTGTATAAACGTTATGTAGATGATACTCTCATTATTGGTAATAATAGTAAATCTATTGAAAACGTTATTGTTTTTGCTCTAAACCTTATTATTGTTACTTATTTTCAGATGGATTTATGTCTCTTTGTTTGTAATTATTAGTTAGTTAAAACAAAAATTAAAAAAATAAATACTGACAATGACTGGTGCCAGTTATGCTAAAATTACGAATTGGTAGAAGTTAGAATTCATGGGCTAGCGCCATCAAGTCAGTCATATATAAGAGTTCCAGTGGCTGCCATGTGTAACTGGAAGGTCCACTGGGTTCGAACCCTGGCGGGCGGTGACTGCCTACTGTCGTCAATGAGTCCCAAACTAAAGAAGACACAGCTAGTTGTCTAGTAGTACTCCTACTAGCTGGTTTCCAATGGTTCTCTCTAACAGATATTTTATTTTTTTAATTTTTGATTACAGCTTGATTCCACACTGTATTTTTTGGTACAGGTATGGGATTTTCAGCATGTGATATCGGTAGCCCAAATTTTGCAGGTCAACCATAGATATCAGGTGTGCGTCGGCAGGGGATGGAACCCCGGACAATGTGCATGGTCGGTGAGAGTCATAGTCGCTGTGCCACTGACGCACCTAAGCAAGCTCACAGAATCCGTCCATAAGGGAAAAATACAGGTAATTTCATTGGTCTCAGTTTAAAGACCGTTGCAGAAATTACACTGCAAAGAACAGATACAACACATGATCTTGGCTAACAGAACCGAGAAGCGATATATCAATCCGTGGCAGAAAAAACGTCGAAACAAATTCTCTTGGAAGCAAAATAACAATTATAATTGGAATAACCCAGTCGAATCATCAAGTGAGAGTGTTAAACGGATAAAGAAAGAAAACAACTGTAGATTACTGAGATTTCTAGACACTTCAGACAATTTTTGAGCGAGTCACCGGTGAGTTATATATATATATATATATTCAATAGTTGGTTTGTAAGGATTAGTTTTGTTTTAACGAGTTGATCAGGGACTGATATCAGTTAGAGAACCATTGAAAACCAGCAGGAAGTACTGCACAGCTGTTTCGTCCTAGTTTGGGAATCATCAACAGTACGCACCCACTGGGACTCGAACCCAGGACCTTCCGGTTACAAGGCAGGCTCGTATACTGATATCAATCCGTGATCAACTCGTAAAAAACTATATATATATATATATATATATATATATATACATTGATTTTCAATAACGGCACACTTTTTATTATAAAGCCGTACAGTTGCATTTATATCACGGGAAAAGCCATTAGGTGGCACTAATATATATACATGGTTGATTCAATGGTAGAATGCTTGCCAGCAGCGGGATGTGATCCGAGGTTCGATTCCCAACCAACGCATTTCGGAACCTTGATTAGTTGACTAGTCACTAGTAAGCTCGGAGAAAGGAGGGAAAGTTGGACGAGACACTAAGAATCCCAATCCTGGATACTTGAAAGTTTGAAAAGCCTTATGTTCCACTTGGGGAAACTTACGGAATCCTTCGAAGTGAAGGTGGGAGTAAGACAAGGCTGGATGCCGACTATCTCCAGTGATTTTCATGATTGAGGTAGACTGGATAATGTGACAGACAGCGGCGGACAGCGAGGAAAAAGGCATAAAATGAACCCATACAAAAAACTTGCAGGATCTGAACTTCACCGGTGATATATGTCTGGTTTCACACAAACTAGAAGATATGTAGGTGAAAAACAACAAGTCGGCGATAGAACAAGCACCAAGGTTAGGAAGGATTTCAGGTGAACATAAAGAAAACAGAGGTGATGAAGATTACTGGCCAACAGTAACAACAATCAGCATCAATGGGAGGAATCTGAAAGAAACAACCTCCTTTGCCTACCCACCTAACTGGGAAACATCGTCTCAACTACAGGCGGACGGAATTGATGAGAATATCAAAGCGAGGATCGGGAAAGTAAGGCATTACTCTTCATTACTCTCAAGTCTGTGTGGAGATCAACAGCACTCAGCATGAAAATGAGAATAACATCCGGATTTTCAACTCCATTGTGAAGTCAATGCTACTACGGATCAGAGACTTGGCACCGCGTCATGAAGGGTACTTTAAACAAACTACAGACCTTCATCAACAGCTGTCTTCGCTCAATACTACTCAAGATCAGATGGCCAGAAAAGATGACAGCAACAGGGATCTCTGAGAGCGAACCAACCCAGCAGGAACCAACTGTGCAACAAATATGCAGGAAGAAATGGAGGTGGATTGGCCATACTCTGAGAAAACAAACCATCAAGTGAGTAACATCACACGCCAGGCCATCTCTCGAGTGGAACGCAAACGACGACTTTCCACAACACACCAAAATACTCTTTAATATTTTATGTAAACAGCTTTTTGTTAGAAATCTGTAGACAAATACACAAAGTGAAGCGTCGTAGTGTCTTGTAGTGGTAGAAGTAGTTAAACACACACACCCACCCACCCTTGTAATGATTGTTGTTATGCGTAAACAATAGAATTGAAGCAATGGAAACCACACACAAACCAAAAGGCAGTAAACTATGAAGAACTACTCCAAGGCAGGTGGTGTGCATGTGTATACATGTCAAACTTAATGAAGCAAACTATTCGGAAGATGAAATCATCACCAAGATGAGGTACAAAAATAAATAAATAAATACATATGAAACTCAAATCAGACACACACTAGCGCAAATCATATGTGGGCGGTTATAATAATAAGAATAGTAATAATAAGCATTACTACTATTATTAGTATTATTATCATTATTATTATCGGTATTATTATAGTGATGATTGATTAGTATTAATGGTATGATGATTACATTATTTATAGCATAGCCCAAATCTTATTAGGAACACCATAACTACACTCACAGAAGGCTTAGAATCATCTGGCAAGTGGATATTCTTGGCTCCATTTTTCTTTAAACGACCAAATAAACCTGAAAGCCAACCATCCTACAAAAAAAATACAAGTCATCATCACTCAAAATGAATTTCAAGTATATATATTTATGTATGTATGCATGTATTGATTTAAGAGCTTAATAGTGATGATATTGAAGAGAAAATAAGGCGACAAAACTCGCCTTACTTTGCAAATAATATTCGAAGCGTAGTGAAAAACCTTACTTGAATGTATCATAACTGAACCTAAGGTGTTTGCGTCAGTAAGTAGCCAAGTCAACATTTATCGACAAATTAACATTACTAGATGGTTGAAAGCAATCGGTAACAAGTCCAGTTTGACTTAGGTCTCATGTACTTGTTGGAAATCACCAATCAGCAAGGTGTATCTGCAAACTGGTAAGAGATTCGTACCCGTGTCACCCAGCGCTGCCATCACAGATGTACCACTGGGCTATTCGGGCTCACAACTGACCTCCTGTAAGACCGTATTCGATACTTTGATTGGACCACTAACTAGCGTTATGCGTCTAGTCATCTGTTCACTGCAGACTGAATTCTATCAGTCAAGTTTGCAATGTGACCAGCATGTTAAGTGGATTTCCATCACGGTGCGCTCAGAATTGTAGTTATTAGATGGTTGGAGGTCTGTCTGTCTGGATTCAACATAGAACTTGGCACCGAAGTGCAGCAGTTCGAGTTGCCACGTTCCAAATAGCGCACAAAGGTAGACAAGAAAATGAGTGAAGAGAATCAATAGTTTTGACAAGTATAAGAGTGAAACAGAATGAGTAATGGTAGAAAGAGATATGAAAGATTACAGAGACTGAATACATCTGCGTAAGCCATTGACAACGATTTTGAGCCATGTCACCTATTGTCTCCAGCCATTGATTCTTAGAGTCCCGAGGGCCCCAACCCGGAAGTCTGCATCTCCCTACCTGACTCAGTTTAACTGTCAAGGGTTTCATCGATTGATGCCTCGTCGATTGATTTTCCCTCTTTGCCCAACTCTCTACACCTAACGTCAACATTACTTACCTTATTATACCACCTAACGTGAGAAAGAGATCGTAAACATCTATGGTCAAAAACAGTCAACCCTTTCATGTCTTCAACTCGTATTGGCTATGTTTCAGAGCCATGGAGAAGGACGGAGCGAACTGCTGAGCAGTACACACGTCCCTTGGTTGATAGCCGGATGTCACGCCTACGCCAGAGACGGTGTAAGTTAGCGAAAGCAGCTCGAGCTTTTTGGATCCGTGCTGTGATTTCGTCACCAATCAATCCGTTAGTGCTGATACAACTTCCCAAATAGGTGAAGTGGTCAACATGTTCTATCACTTCACTCCCTATCACTAAGCTAGGAGTTGACGTAGTCTAGTCCTGTAGCAGCATCTTACATTTTACAGGGGCGAATCGCATGCCGAACATACGAAGATTGCTGCTCAAGGTGTTCAGAAGACTCTGCATTTTGTCAGCATCCTCCCCTAACAGGACTATGTCGTCTGTATATTCTAAGTCCATAAGACTAGTTCCTGGTAACAAGTCGATTCCTAGGTCGTTATGTTCAGTTAAGGATACTTCCATTAGCATATCTGTGATGAAGTTAAACAGAAATGGGGAAAGTGGACATCCCTGACGAACACCACTGGTTGTTATCAATTCAGATGACAATTCCCCATAAGCCCTTACACGGCTACGTGAGTTTGAGATGGTTGGAGGTAATCAGCAGGAAGCCTCGGGTCTAGGTTAGGTGGTCAAAACTGCGAGCCCTAATAGCTCAGTGGTAACGTCTCTGACTGCAGCACTAGGTGACACGGGTTCCAAACTCAGAAGGGACATCAGTTGTTTCAAGATTTCAGATACGCCTTGCTGACTGGTCGGTGCCAACAAGCACGAAACCTAGTTCAGGCAAGGCTTCCTGTGGCTGACTGCCTCCAACCATCTAATATCGACACTTTAGAGTGCGCTGTGAGGTAGAAACACCTAGCATGGCGGTCACATTGCAAACTTGACTGGCAGAATTCAGTCTGCAACAAACAAAGGACCAGACGCATGACACTAGTCGGTGCCCAATCAAAAAATTAACATTACATCATCAGAAGAGACGTCCAGTTTAAGGAATAACTAGAGACTACAGTGGACAATATATATATATATATATATATATATATAAATCAATATTGACTTCCATTCATTTAAACAGCTGATCTCCAGCTGACTTTAACAAAACCAAAACGGAATTAGTAAATAAAAATTCAAGTTTGACTTAATGGGCATACACATACGACGCACCACCACTTATTATCCTTATGACATACACACACACTTCACATTTTAAAAGTGTTTTAAAGGAAAAAAAACCTGTTACAATAAATCGATAGAGGTAATTATACTTCTAATACTCTTATAATAAATAGCAAGGAGCTTAAGAGATTCAGTACTTGTTAAACAGAAACTATGTGTTTCACATATAGTAAGAGTTAACACGTAAGAAGATTTGCTGAATGACTTATATATTTATTACCTCTGAACAGGTATTTTAAGAAAGTAAATTAGACATTTTGAAGAAACTTCAGAAAGTCGTTTCGACTCAGTAAAGATCTTTTATGTATGAGACTAAGAGTTACACACTTGTTGTATGAATGGCTGATGCTACTACACCAAGGTGTTTAGGTTGGAAGAGATGGTTAGAGAGAGAGACAGACTCGAACCGGAGACCCATTGACTATACGTAAAGTACTTAAACCAGGGAGCCCTATCGTCACAGAGATTTACATCTTCTACAATCATCAGTGTCGAAACTAACTACTCCATGTAAGACTGGATTATATGCGTGCAACCTGGTCACACCAGGTGAGAACCGATTTACATCACGGTAACACGTGTAAAATAAGAACAAATGGCGAAGTTAAAGTATCATAGCCACAGCCAAGGTCTTTCAAGGCTGACTCTGAAGGACCAATCAGATTTGTCGGACGCTTCTGAAGGTCATTCCAAGCAGAAATTATGCCTGGATTTATAGATTTGGTTAGCGAATTCTGCGGAGATGAAGCAATTAATTACTGTGTTAATAATGGATTAATTGGAGTGACTAAGAGTTGTGTTTGTGGAGATATTATGATGCTAAAGCAATACAACCTAGTTGGAGATAAGTACTGTTATAGATGTAGTTCATTTCACAAGAGAAAATTTGTTCGTGAGCGTAAGTGCAGTATTTTACTTATTCCTTAGGTACTTTTTTCTCGAAGTCTAAGCTGTCTTTGACGGATATCCTACGTTTTATGTACTGTTGAATTTCACAAAGACCTGTAAGGCCAGCGGCAACTGATACAGAAAATAGCCTAGTCTATACGGTGCAATGGTATCAGCACTGTAGAGACATAGCGTCATGGAAGTTGCAGGGGATTACTGGCTGTCTTGGAGAAGTAGGAGTAGTCGTTCACATCGATGAAATTGTGCTTATTAGGAGGAAGTATAACAGGGGAAGGAGAAGGGCAAATCAAGTGCGTTTACTTGGGATCTATGACACTTCACTTAGAAAAGGTTTCGTTGAAACAATACAAAATAGAAGTGCCGCAACATTAATTCCAATCATTCAGCGCTTGGTATTGCCAGGAATAACCATACATACTGATGAATGGAGGGGATATAACCAACTGCCATCTTTGTGTAACACCCACTATCGTGTTAATTATTCCTCTGACCTTGTAGATCCCGTCACGGGCACGCATACTAAACTCTATCGAAAGATTCTGGGGGAGATTGAAGAAAAGAATCAGCAATGTTAGTGGATTGCAAAATACCATAGTTTTTAGCCACATCGATGAATACATGTATCGAGAATGGTATGGTTTCTCTGCTGATCATCCTTGGAGAAACTGGGAGACGTTTTTACAACATATAAGAGAACATTATCCCGTTTAATAACATTTTTCTAACGTTTTTAATACATTTTTTTAAAAACAATTTTAACGGTTTTTCGGCATCTGAATTCTGACTGGTTGTTCAACGTCACTTTAGTTTGGCTTTGATAGTTTAACTTTGCCGAACAGAATAGTAGTGTAACAACAGAAGGCAAGGGCCAGGCAACAGATCGTTTATCAAGGAAATTAAAGCATATTTATATATTTTCATGTACATTATTATAGATTAGTTAAGCAAACAAACACAGTCTTCTGATTGATTGTTTCTCACTTAAAGTTAATCTTTCATCTCTTTGTGACTGTTTCTTGAATGTCAGATCATCTATATGTTAACTGTATCCGCCTACGCAAAGTCTGCTGTGGTCGGTTTTTGAATCAGTCTTGTTCATATTTTCTCACGACAAATCTTGAGAACGTAAACGTTGAAGTAAATTACCATCTACCAATTTGGCTAGTAGACAGCTCTCAACACAGTGGTTAGATAGTGCATAAATGATTGACGGATTTTGATCATTTTGATCCTTAATTAACAAGTATGGTTTAAGTGTTGGTTTGTAGGGATTTGATTGGTCACAGGATTTTCATCATGAGCTGATATCAGTTAGAGAACCATTGGAAAAACTGGGAGTACTGGACAGCTGTTTCGTCCTAGTTTCGGACTCTTCATCAGTACGCACCCACCGGGATGGTTTATATTACAAATAACACTGTTTTATTTCTTTTACTTCATTACTTCACGTTCCCAGTGGAACACAGAGCTTCGAATTTTCAGCAGCAGCAAAAGTGGTTTTTACGGTATTTTTTTAGCTGTGGGGGTTACTACTTTCACACCAAACCTTCCCTCTTTACCGGCTCAGAGAGGTTTAGGAGTGGCGTCCGTTGGGGATCGAACCCCAGACCACGTGTAGCGTGGTTGCCTAGTCTCCTACCATTGAATCCCTGATTCTATCCACAAATAACTTAGTTCCACACATATATAATTAGGAACAAAGCATTATATATAAACCTACGAAATCCTATCCCTGTATCATTTTTTGTGACATTAAATAGATCAGAAGAAGAAGTAAAAAGCAGATCACAGTAATCGATAATTGTTAATTTTCATAGACTTAGCATTCTCGG